AATCACAAAATTGCATGGGTTAAATTTTTGTGTTCCCTCCTGTTAATTTTGTGTTCCCAGTACGTTCCCTCCTGTTGTATAAATCACATGGGGAACGGTTAGAACTCGGTTCGCGGTTCTGTGTTCGGTTCGGTTCAGACCGCTCAGAACCGGTTCCCTAGTGGAACCGCCCCATCCCTAAAGTAAATAGTATGCGATTCCCATACCAACGTGATATACCACACTAAATATGGAGAATAAATGACACAAATTAATCATTGGTTTGATGTATATTAATTATATGTGATACAAGCATTAATGCACTTATATATATATATAATACACACATATACACATATATATATATACTTATAATTTACTCTAATCTTCTTTTTTTACTTTCATTTGTTATTTTATATCAAAAAAAAAAAGATGTCTAAAAAAAATAATAGTAACAGTAATTCAGACAAGAAGTTCAATTTCAAAGAAGTTACAATTACTTTTTCACCAATAACAGCCTTATCTTTTATATTACTGATTCTATCAGCTTTATACAGTTATGATAAATCTTATAGGGGTCAAGAAATCTGTGAACTTGTTAGTCCAATCAAACAGGATGATAAATATCAATGGTTTTCTGCTCCCGAGTATTCAGCCTCCACCGGAAATTATAAATATTTAGACAATGGAGCATTTGTTTATCGACATATTTTCATGGATGAATTCCAAGAAGAGTTCAACGTCAAACCAATTAATTTTCCAGTTAAGTGATAGTAATTATTATATTATTATATTATTTTCTTGATTATTAATCAACTAATCATATCTGATCTATCAATAACTAATCATTGTCGTCGTCGTCGTCGTCATCATCATCATCATTGTATCATCATCATCATTATTAGATAATTGACCCGGTTCTTCAAGAATTTATAGATAGACATAATCTTGAATTTCGTTTGAAAAATGATACATCGTTAAATGCAAATTTAGTTCAATTAATATTAAGAGAATCGGAAAGACATGGACCAGCCCTTACACAATTGAAACAAAAAGTAGAAGAAGGTGCTTATATTGATGATGGAAGAGTTTATATTCGTTGGGTAAATGATATTGTAAGATACGGAATGTTTGCTGGTAAAGATTTCAAACCAGGAGAAGTTTTTGGAATTTACACCGGTAAAAATATTATTTATTGATCATTACGATGAATTAATACTTTTTAAATTAGTTAATAATTTATTTAATAAATAACATTAGGTCTGATAACTCCTAATTTACAAGATCTTG